TTTAAATGAATTGTTAAAATTGAATAGTTTTCATTTGATACTATTTCTATCTTAACATGTGATTCTTGCCCTGCCATTGTGTAGCTGTTCCTACCAAACCCAGCCGGTCGAAGCAGATGGTCCTCTTGTCCTGATCCTGGTTCTGCTAAAGGTTTCTTCCTCATGAGGGAGTTTTTCTTTCCACTGTCGCCTTCATGCTTGTTCAAGATGAGAGTTCAGTGATGGAGTTAAACTCAAAGCTGCTCCTCAGATAAATAATGTTCAATTATTATTTTATACATGAATGTTTCTGTTCAGTGACTGAGACGACTTCTGTTGTGACTTGGAGCTTTAGAAATAAACTGAATTAAATTGAAATTGAATTGAATCATCATTATTTTTTTGGCCCCTCCCCCACCCTGCAGCCATGGCTCCGCCTCATCACTGTGTGTGGCTCTGGCTGCAGCATGGCTCCTCCCCTCTCCCTCCTTGCAGCCATGGCTTTTCCCCCTTGTCACTGTTTGTTTGGCCCCTCCCCTGATCCCTCCCTGCAGCCATAGCTCCTCCCCCTCATCACTGTGTCTTTCTCCGGCTGCATCATGGCATCTCTCAGCCTCCTGCTGCTCGGCGCAGCTCTGCTTCACGCTGCTCAGGTTAGATGTTTGTCTTCTTGTCTGTGTCGTTAAATTGCTCTTCATTGTGATGCTGTGTTGTCATGGTAACCATGCTGTGTTTCATATGTCAATATGATTACATCACTTGTAACTGTGTGTATTCTGTGTTTGTCTTGATATGAGGACCAGGTTTAAAAAGACCTCAGACTTGTGCTGAGGGTCTGAAAACCCATACCTGGGTTTGGAGCAGAACCAGAACTAAATCAAACCTGCGGATGCCTGGGCCTCACAGAGATAGCATGATAAATGTGTGTGTGTGTGTGTGTGTGTGTGGCTGGCTGCAGGAACATTTTTTTTTCTGCTGCTGTCACCATGGGGACAGGAGATGGTCACCATGGCAACAAAGCAGCTCATCACAGGAGATCCAGCAGGTCCCCTGACACTGTGTGTGTGTGTGTGTGGGGGGGGGTCTTGGTTTCCTGTCGGAGAACATTTGGACTTCATGATGTTTAAATCAGAGAAGAACGCAGCTACAGCATCCGTCGACTTCCTGCTGTAAAGCTGAACAGGAAGTGATGACCAGATGCTGAAGACAATAAGTTTCATCGGACAGTGAAGGACATGTCCTCATGGTGGGACAGGACTGTCCTGATCATCTGTCCGCACTTCACGGTCACACTGCAGGCAGAAGTGGCTCAAATGTGATTTTTCAAACCCGACCCAGGTCTTCTTCAGCTCTGGTTCTGAATCAGACCCATATTAGATGTTTTTGAGAGCGATCTCAGGTCTCGTTTCGTCAGTGAGGTAGGGCGACGTGGATCCATCCAACTACTGATAATACTGATACAAACATGGTGAAGCTTAACGCTCAGAACTCCACACGTCTTCAGCTGCAGAACAAAAGTCCAGTTGATTGAATTCATCATGTCCTGGTGACCATCAGCACCAACATCTGATACTAATGTTGGACTGGATCGATGCTAAAGGGATGGATCCTTACTGGACGTTGTTTCTGCCTTCAGTGTGTCGCTCCCGTTCCAAAAACACAAATCTGCACCGGAGGAGCCGTCAAAAGGAAAGATCACATGTAAACACCGGACCAACGGTCCTGTCAGATAATCATTTAATCCGTTTGGATTGCACAACAATCATCCAGGTCGAGGGGAGCCTCAGGTTGAGTTCAGGTATCTGGACGTCTTGTTCTTGGGCAATGGTAGAATCCTGCAGCCTCATCCTCAGTAATGAAGGTGTTGCTCTGGTCAGGTGTGGTGAAGAAAGACTTGAGTCTAAACTCTAAAGTCTACATTCCAGTCCACACTTGTGGTCATGACGTTTGGATCATGATTAAAAGAAGGAGATCCTGTATCCTAGCAGTGGTGGGTGGGGGGCTCAGTCTTAGAGACAGGGGAAGGAGCTCTGTCATCTGGGGGGAGCTCCTCTGCATCAGAAGGAGTCAGCTGAGGTGGACTTAGTCAGGGCTGTCCCTTGTCTCCAATCCTGTTGAGGTGGCCCATCTGATCAGGACGCCTCCTGGATGTCCCCCATTGGAGGTTTTCAGGACACACCCAACTGGTAAGAGACCCTGGGGCAGACCCAGAACTCTCTGGAGGGATTCCATACTCTCTCTGGTCTGGGAACACCCCAGGGTCCCCCAGAAGGAGCTGGAGAGTCTCTGGGGTGAGGGAAATTTGGGTTTCTCTCGTGGACCTGCTGCCTCCATGACCTGCCTATGGATATGTAGTAGCAGATGGAGATAGAGATGATTGAACAACAACTTCAGAACCAATCCACACACACTAACATGTAGCATCCATGTTTCCTTCTGTAACCATGACATGCTGTGTGGGACATCTTCTGCTGTTCGCTTCAGAATGGTTCACCCTGATGGAGGTCTAAATTAGAAGAACGACCACAGAACCTGGCATCGTGTTCCTTCTGACAGGTTCTGTTCAGACAGACAGCGCTCAGATCCATTTCTTCACTGGGGTGTTCTGCTTGACATCTCCTTGGTAATAAATTGTTAGGATCCAAAGAACTTGGTCTTTCTATCTCCGTTATTCTTCTGCAACAACACAAGACTCTTATTGTGAAGAGTATCTGAGCTTCATTTTGAAACTTTCAGTGACAATAATTTTTCATTCATTCAACCTTTAGTTCTACAGGTTAGTCTCACTGAGCCTGGCGGACTCATTTACAACAGAGACCTGGTTTAACAAAGACGAGGTACAGACAACAATAGACAACCATATAAAAAAACAGATAAAATGCAAAGTAAATGGAAAAAAATTCAATAAAAAAGAAACAAAAGCAGCTACATTATAAACTGAGATCAAAAACTAAACACAGGAACATGTCTGTGTTGGTTGTTGCCAGGATGTTTAAAATTCTTCAGATAGGTCAAGGTCGAGAGACAAGACCCAGGTTTTGGATTCAAAAGTTCAGCCAGACACCAAGAACCTTTGAACAATTTTATTATGTTAAGGCTGCTGGTGGAAATCTGGACCTTCTCACAGGAACTGGTCTGAAGAGAGAACACTGTTGGTTGGATGTAGGTTTCACAGAATGTGCTTAAAAGCAGGAGATAGCCACGAAACTTCTCAGGCAGGTGAGGCGAGGTGCAGAGCCAACTTCCGGTGCTCAGGCGGTGTCAGGCGGTGTCAGTGGTGGTAGTGACGTCACCATGGGTGGTGGGCAAGCAGCTGGGGAGTGAGGTCTTTAATGCTGTGAGCTGACCCGACACAGGGCCAAACTTTAATCGTGGTCCAAGTAGTGAAGCAAGGCCCAGGTCCCAGAATAAATCCAGAGGGGAATTTTTAATCTAAAAACCGATGGGCAGAAAAGGTTGTAGTTACCAGAATCAGAAGTCAGAACTCACCAGACATGGGTCAGACAGGGCGGAGAATTCAGGAAACAGGCGTGAGTTCATGACAAGAAGATCAGGCGAGGACTTGGAAGAAAAGCAGGACATCTACTAACAAAAATGTTTGATCATCTGGCAGAGACTTGGCATGGACGGCGCTCTTATATAGAGCAGGCAACAGGTGATGTGCATGAGTGTGATTGCGATGGAGAAGTGGGCATGGCAGGAGGCAAAACCCCCTCCCCATGTCCAGCTCCTGACCGACCTCTGGGTTGATCCAGGCGGGAGCGATGGAAATCCCTAATCATGGTCTTGTCCAGAACGTGTCAGGCAGGAACCCATAAACATTCCTCTGGGCCATAACCCTCCCAGTTCACCAGATAATGGAGACCCCAACATCTGGAGCGAAGACGTCTCCTGACAGCTGGGCCGGATTAACAACCCCAAGTGCCCCATGGCACTGAAGCTCACAGGGTCCCCCTCCCTAACCTGCAGTAATCCAGGCAAAAGAAGCCCCAACTAAGTATTGAGTGCTGTACATTTTCCTTCTTTTCAGTTGGCCAACATTTCTAAAATTACCCTGATGCTGCTCAATAATCCAGGTAGAAAAATCTAAAAAAGTTAAATCTGGTCCTCTGGACATTCAAAAAAACAAAACAAACAAAAAAATGTAGAAACATTTCGTCTTTCATCCGAAGGACTTCTTCAGTCTGAGGTGCTGTATTCAGCAGGAAGCCAGTGGACAGGGGATATGTGTTCATGTTTTTAGTTGCTGTTAAAAGACGAGCTGCTGCGTTCTGGACAGATTGTAAACGATGCAAAGATGATTTGTCTAAACCAACATACAATGAATTACAATAGTCCAAAGGAGAGGGAATAAAAGCGTGAATCACCTTTTCAAGGTTTCTGAAAGAGAGACGAGACTTCACCTTGGCAATGAGTCTTAGCTGCAAGAAACTGGATTTCACAAATGTATTTATCTGTTTGTCTAATTTAAAAACACTTTCAAAAATAACTCCCAGATTCCTGACAGTGGAGTGGCTGTATGAAGCCAAGGGGCCAAGAGTGTCAAGGGTGTTACATTTACCAAACTGATGACTTCTGTTTTATTTTCATTTAAATTCAGAAAATTTAGTTTAAACCAAACTTTAATGTCGTTTAGACAGTTCAAGATTTGATCCAGTGGACTGACCCTGTCTGACACAATCGGAAGATATAACTGAGTATCATCAGCAAAACAATGAAAAGTGATGTGTTTTCTAAAAATGGACCCCAAAGGCAACATGTAGAGATTAAAAATCAGTAGACCTAAAATAGACCCTTGAGGGACCCCACAGATCAGAGGAGCTGGAGATGAAGAACATTCTCCTAAATGAACAGAAAAACTCCTGTCAGTACGGATCCCCCGTGATAAACGAGGAACTACTGTACATCAAAGTCTATGCTCAGTAATCCAGGTTAAAAAAATAATAATCCAACAGTGTTCAGTCAGATCATCTGGACAGTTTTTTTTTTGGTTTTTGTTACGAGATGTTTTGTTCTCCATCTGAAGGGTTTCATCAGTCTGAGGAGTCACAAACAAGTGGTTTCCCCACCAAGCAGTACACTCCTACAGTGGACCAACCAGTTTGCTGGTGTAGTGAACTAGACCTCCAACATCAACCTG